TCAGGCCAGGAACCGCCTTTGAGCTGCTTGAAGCTCAAGCTGCTACAGGATATGTGATTGACCCCATCAAGAACCTGAAACTGAATGTCACAGAGGCTGTTAAAATGGCCGTTGTTGGCCCAGAGTTTAAAGACAAACTCCTGTCAGCTGAACGAGCCGTCACAGGCTACAGAGACCCTTACTCTGGCCAGGTGGTCTCTCTGTTCCAGGCTATGAAAAAGAATCTGATTCTGAAAGACCACGGCATTCGCCTGCTGGAGGCCCAGATCGCTACCGGGGGGATCATCGATCCCCAGGAGAGCCACCGTTTGCCTGTTGAAACAGCATATGAACGTGGCCTCTTTGATGAGGAAATGAACACAATTCTCACTGATCCTTCTGATGACACAAAGGGCTTCTTTGACCCAAACACAGAGGAAAACCTCACCTACCTGCAGCTGATGGAGAGATGCATGACAGACCCAGAGACCGGCCTTCGTCTCCTGCTGCTGAAAGAGAAGAAACGCGAGAGGAAGACGTCGTCCAAGTCTTCGGTTCGTAAGCGACGGGTTGTCATTGTCGATCCAGAATCAGGCAAAGAGATGTCCGTTTATGAAGCGTACCAAAAAGGACTGATTGATCACCAGACCTATATAGAGCTTTCAGAGCAGGAGTGTGAGTGGGAGGAGATAACGATAACCTCCTCGGACGGAGTCGTAAAGTCCATGATCATCGACAGAAGGTCTGGACGGCAATATGACATTGACGATGCCATCACAAGAGGCCTGATAGATAAGTCTGCTCTGGATCAGTACCGAGCTGGAACCCTGTCCATCACAGAATTCGCAGACATGCTGTCTGGAAACATGAGCGGCAGTAGATCACGCTCATCCTCCTTTGGCTCCTCTTCCTCCTACACCGCCAGCCCGGTGCCTTCCATAAAAACACCCGCAACCACATGGAACGACCCAACTGAAGAGACCGGGCCTGTGGCCGGGATACTGGACACAGATACACTGGAGAAGGTCTCAATCACAGAGGCCATTCACCGAAATCTTGTGGACAACATAACAGGTCAAAGGCTGCTGGAAGCTCAGGCCTGCACTGGAGGGATCATTGACCCGAACACAGGAGAGAAGTTCTCTGTGGCTGATGCAATGAATAAAGGGTTGGTGGATAAAATCATGGTGGACCGCATCAGCTTAGCTCAGAAGGCACACAATGGGTTTGAAGATCCCCGAACTAAGAGCAAAATGTCTGCTGCTCAAGCTCTGAAGAAAGGATGGCTTTACTACGAAGCCGGACAGCGGTTCCTTGAGGTCCAGTATCTCACCGGTGGGCTGATTGAACCAGATGCTTCTGGTAGAGTCTCCATCGACGAGGCTGTGAAGAAGGGCACCTTAGATGCCCGCACCGCCCAGAAGTTACGAGATGTCAGCGCGTATTCCAAGTACCTCACCTGCCCCAAAACCAAGCTCAAGATCTCCTACAAGGACGCCATGGAGAGAAGCATGATCGAGGAGGGAACCAGTCTGCGGCTGCTCGAAGCTTCGTCTCAGTCCACCAAAGGCCTTTACAGTCCGTATAGCATCAGCGGCTCTGGCTCTGCGACCGGATCCCGCTCTGGTTCCAGAACCGGGTCCAGATCCGGCTCCAGGAGAGGAAGCTTTGATGCCACAGGGTCAAGTTTCACAACAACCTTCTCTTCCTCATCCTTTGGTTCGCCGAGCTACAGCCGGCGGTACTGAGCAGGAGGCGGAGCAACGCTCCCCAGACGCCTGTGGAATAAAGACCTCCTTTATTCTGCTCTGCATGGAGGTGTTGCAAAACTTTCCTTTGTCTGTCAATATATTCATTCACTTTATTGTATATTTTACACTGAATGCACCTCATCAGATCCATTATCACATACTGTAAGCAGTACAGCCGACCACCTACAGCCTGCCTGACTAACAATTTTAAAATAAGCCTCTAGTCTTCCAGAAACGCTCTTTTATTTCCTAGAAAAATTGTTAGCAGAACCAGATTGGATGTACAAACTAGGGTTTCTGAACATGTGTATATTTCTGAAAGGACGAAAAGCTTCTCTGCAGAGCAGAATGTGGAGTCTATTGATAGTCTGCTTCAAGAACGCCAAGCTTCCAGATCTTCTCTCTCATGGGCCACACTGCCACATTCACACTATAAACCCAACTTCATAACTATAGACCCTGCAGTTGGAGCAACATGTGCACACCGTGACATGGACACATAGCAAGAGAGACCTGGGGACACTTTGACCAACACCGATAAATCCCTGCTGTTCTGGATGGCAGAAAGGTAAATCTTCTCCAGAGAAGATTTCTGATCTGATGCCAGATTGTTGGAATCTGATGTTTTGTTCTGTTCCGGGAACCTTCAGCCTCCAGTACTGGACTCCAGCCCAGTACTGGACTCCAGCCCAGTACTGGACTCCAGTCCAGTACTGGACTCCATCGCTGGACTCCAGCCCAGTACTGGACTCCAGCCCAGTACTGGACTCCGGCGCGCGGACGCTGCTCCTCAGGATGAAACTCTGCTCTGCTGCTCGGTCCAGTTGCTTAGCAAACCCTCCTCACCTTTCACTGGGAGAAGCTGCAGACCTCAAACTGGTGCCTGACTGAAAGGTGAGCAGGTTTCCAGTCTGGCTGCAGAAGAAATACTGAAAATCATTAGCCAAGATTGAGATCATATCATTGACTTTTTTCTTTCCTGGGGCGATGTATGACTATAGCGATGACGAGTAAAAACATTTCTTTGAGAAAGATCTTCAAGCTTTGCAGCTCAGCCAGTTTTTATATTTGACACCACAAAGCCTCGTTTGATGGTAGATCTTCTTTGTAAAGCAGCACATTTGATCGAAAGCTCCTTTTATTTTCATACTCTATATTTCTGCTTTGCATGATTTATTAAAGACATGACAGCTATATCCTTTAAAAGCTCATTTTTTTGCTGTGTTTGAGGTTTGAAGGATGTGTTTTAGAGAGGAGTCATCCAGCCTAGTTTGGTGTATTTATAACTAAATGGGACGAGAACATTTATTGTTACACCTTAAGCCTGTAAATAAACACAAAAATGAAAAGACCTAAATCTGTTTCTTTATTTTTGTTTTGTTTGCTGTATGAATAAAAAGTGAAAAATCACTGCTAAAGTAAACATGCAAAGTTGAGTTTTTCTAATAAATGTAGGTCAAATGAAACTGTTCAACTTAAAAAGATGAAACGACGTCCAGGTCTCAAAAACTGCTGTTGAAATGATATGTTGTCATATTTTCCACCTTAAATTTCAATCAACCTACAATATTAAAATACATTTTTGGGGGATTTAAAGGTTGTCATTGAGAATAGTTACATTTTTACAAAGTTGTCAATTATTACTATTATTATTATATTTGTTGTGTTGTCAGAAGTGTAAGAGTTTACTTCCTATAATCAACACTAAGAATATTATAAATTGTCCCATTTTTCATTTTAAACAGATAATCATGATAATAATGACTTATTTCCTAGTAAGTCATACAAATTAAAGGCAAACTTTAGATCTTTGGACAAAACAATAGTCTGCTTCCCAGACATGTAAAAATATTAAAGATTTATACTTTTGCTTTTTTTTTTTCTTTGAACCTGAAATATTTTTATCAATATTTTTCATATTTTGGAGTATGCTGCCCTCACTATGTGTAACTGCTACAAAGCTAGCTTACACTTAAAAGGTCGTTGAGTCGAAAATAATCCAGTCCTTGTTTTATTTTTATTTTCCTTTTTTCTTTGTAAAACTATAAAACACAAAAGTTCACATCAATCACAGACAAGATACAGAAAACAACCAGACCACAGCAAAACAAATGACTCCCAATTAGCTCAAAATATAAACTTCTTATAAAATGTAACAACATTGTAATAAACAATAAAATAAACTCACAGACAAATGGTGTCCAAGGGACAAACGTGTCCAAGGGACAAAAGTGTCCAAGGGACAAACGTGTCCAAGGGACAAACGTGTCCAAGGGACAAACGTGTCCAAGCTGTCGGTAACACCGAGCTCTGCTCAACTGACAAAACCAACCATACACACAATGTCCACTAGGTGGCAGCAAGGCTTCGCAACCACACCTACAATATAAAACTGGAAACTGAAACAAAACATAATGGAGTCAGCAGCACATGGAGGTTTGAATGGTTTAAAGTCTCACATGCTTAAATTTTATACAGAAGTAATAAAAAATAAAGATAAAAACAAAAAAATATTATGTTGCATTAAAATATTCTGCAAATCTTCCATAAGATTAATTCATGTGCGGTTGTCTTTGTTCTTTTTGTATTTTTGTTGAAAATGAAGCTATTTTTATGAATGACTCACCGTCTCATCGCTTGATGACAGGGTGAGTCAAACAGATTTGAAAATGGTCGGATTTCATCTGAAACCTTTGAATTTATGTGAGAAGTGATGATGTTCAGTATTTTCTGCTTTAGATGACACGTCTCAATTTGAGGCTTTTGCTGAAATGTGGATTTAGTTTTATATTTTCCATAAAATCAGATTTTTGACCTGCAGCTGCTTTGAACTCATGTTTTGCATAAATGCATAAAAATAAAATAAATTGCTGCACAGAATGAAAATCGTTAAAGATGAATGTTTATTGGGACAAAATCTGATTGTTTCGTTTTGATGACCAGAAATACATCGAGATACTTTTAATATTTTTATTTACTTTATTTAATGCTAGCGTGAGAAAGGCTTGCATTCATAAATGTAATAAAATAACCATAAATTTGCCATTTTTGGTTGGAACCAATTTTATATTTTATTATTGTGGTTCTGATGGAGCCATGACGGTCACGTGACTCCATCGTGGTCCCGGCGCCTGATTCCAGCCAATCAGGCGCCGGGACCCACGTGGGGCTTCCCGCCCTGACTCCGCACCTGGACTGGGTTGGAATCCCCGCAGCTGGTGCCATGGTGACGAGGGCGGCCTCTGATTGGTCGGCTCGGTGGGACATTGATACTTTCCCAGCGAGACTCGATGGTGATTTAAAAGTAAAACCCGAGCGGTTCGGACGACTCCCGCCATGTCCGAACCGCGGCAGCCCAAATGCTCCCGGTGCCGGCACCACGGCTTCATCATCCGGAAGAAGGGCCACAGCCGGTGCTGCCCGTTCTCCGGCTGCCAGTGCTGGAAGTGCGGCCTGATCACCCGGCGGACCCAGGTCAACGCGCTGCAGCGGAACCTGAGCAGAACCCGAGACCGGAACCCGACGAACAACCCGAGGAACAACCCGAGGAACAACCCGAGGGCCGCGGGAGACCCCCCTGCTGCTGCCGCCGCCGGGACGCGGGACCCGGACGGTCTGGGTCCAGATGTCCGGAACCAGCGGCCGGACCCGCGAGGAGAGCCCGGTTCCGGTTCCGGTCCGGAGGGCAGAGACGTACCGACCTGTAAGACGATATTCACGACATTCTGCTAAAAACCTGTTTTTATACAAACTCCCGGTTTTTCTGCACATTTGATGAAAATGTAACATTTATTGTATTTTTATGAACTTTAGTGTAAAAACCTGATTTTATGTCAATAAGAATAAAATCATTTATGAGGTAAAGATCAAGTAGAACCAGTAAAAATATCAATACGAGCAGAAAATGAATGAATGAATGAATGAATGAATGAATGCAGGAAGATGAAAATATTGAACCAAAACCTTCTGGATGATGATTCATCACTTTGGGATAAACTGCAGACAAAGTCAATTCATTGATTTGTTTTCAATATTTTTAATTCCAGCATTGGGTGAAATAATGAATATTCCATATTTTATTTTTAGTCAGAATCAATAAGAGTCCAAACTTTTCCTCCTGCTGCAGGTCTTCTTCCTCTTCCTCCTCTTCCTCAGCTCCTGTCGTCCCGCTGCTCCTTGGCTCCGCCCCCTGACCTCCTGCTCCACCTGCCCCTCCTCCCTACGCTCCCTCCCGGTCTCTATGACGACCTCTGCAGGCCTCTGATGATCCCGCACTTCCTGTCATACCCCGCCCCGCCAGCAGAGGTCAGGCTGCCACGCTCTGCTCGCTGTCAGGCTCAGCTCACCTGCTACTTCCTGCTCACCTGCTGCTTCCTGCTCACCTGCTGCTTCCTGCTGCTTCCTGCTACTTCCTGCTCACCTGCTGCTTCCTGCTGCTTCCTGCTCACCTGCTGCTTCCTGCTGCTTCCTGCTCACCTGCTGCTTCCTATTGCTTCCTGCTGCTTCCTGCTCACCTGCTGCTTCCTATTGCTTCCTGCTGCTTCCTGCTACTTCCTGCTCACCTGCTGCTTCCTGCTGCTTCCTGCTACTTCCTGCTCACCTGCTGCTTCCTGCTACTTCCTGCTCACCTGCTGCTTCCTGCTACTTCCTGCTCACCTGCTGCTTCCTGTCTCCTCTTCTTCTCAGGACTGCAGACTGGTCTTCCTCCCGCTCCACCCTGCTGTTGAAGCGCCCCCTGCTGGCTGCGGGTCCAACAGCAGAGCCTGACGGATCGACGGCTTCCGTCCGTCACTTCCTGTTCCTGTTCCAGTTCAAAGCTTCTTGTTGTGGCTGTTTGGTTCAAAGGGGGTTGAACTGAAAGTTTGTTACCTGAAATAAAATGCAGAGCTGTGGCTCATGACCACGATCCGCTCCGTTTGGTTCTCAGCTGCAGGTTTCTGGGTCACAGAACCGAACCTGGGCCGGAGCCGCTGTTATTCCTGCTGGCAGTTACATGTTACTGCATAGAACCATGTCCTGGTTCTGGATGGTTCTGATCAGCAGTCAGAACCTCTGAGGCCTCTTTTAGATCCTGTGAGGAGGAAAAAAGAATCTGAAGATTTTTAGTTTTAATGATTCGATGCATAAATGACGTCAAACTTTATGAATCAGACGGACAAAGTTCTGACATCTGACCCGGTTCCCTGGTGTTTCATAGGTCCGTCCAGCAGGGGGTGCAGTAGCACAGTGTTCCATGCAGTCTGCACTTCCCAACTGGACCCAGCGGTTCTGCAGAACCTCTGATTCCGGCCGGGTCCATCAGAGAACATCTAGCATGTATTTCTGTGTTTTTATGTAATAAACAATAAAATCCAAACTCGACTTTGTGACATTAATGATAAAACGTTTTGGTAGCAGCAACACGTCGGCCTCAGCTGCACCACAGAACGAGAGGAAGCGCTGGATTTGGACCGGAACCAACCAGCGCCGCCCTGAGGACGATCCGGTTCTGATCCGGTGGTTTTAATGTGGCAGAACGCTGCTGAGGACGTTCAACTCTAAGCTAGACTTTAATGGTTCTGCATCACCAGGCCATGAGGCTGCAGCCCACAGCATCATCCCTCCCCGCCGTGCTTCCCAGCAGGTAACAGCTGTTCCAGCTTCCTGTTTCCTCCATCTTGTCTCCTCTCTGTTAACCTCGGTCCGGCAGCCATATTGTTTCCAGAGAGATGTTTTCTCCTGCCCTTGCAAGCAGCCATGCTGGTTTAGTGTCATCATGACCTTTGGCCTGTTTAGGGTCGCAGTGCGTGGCGCTGACTCAGCTCTCGCCGCCGTGACGGGTTCTATCTCTTAGATGTGTTTATGTCTGCAGAGCAGCAACAGTTGCACCTCAGATCACCAGGTTCAGCCTGAGTTGCGTAACCGTCGTATCTCCAGACTCAGTGAGTCTCTGGCAGCAGAACCGCTGCCAGAACCGCTGCCAGAACCGCTGCCAGAACCGCTGCCAGAACCTTTGTTTGCAGTGGGTGTGTCTGAGATAAGCGCAGTGGGGGGAATCGGCTCAATGCGTAGCAGGAATGCAAAACACTCCGTGTTGCTTTGGGATGTGTTATTGCAGCGTTTGGGGCCGGAGAGTTTTCTAGCAGCAGTGACAGTGCAGACGTCCCCGTTGGGTTCTGACCCGACGGACCCGTTCAGGTCCAGCATGCAGCAGTGCTGTGTGTTTGATGAGAAAGCAGCAGTTTGCTTTCCTTCGAGCAGCAAAAGCGGAGTAGATGCTGCTGCTGCAGCGCCTGGCCTAGTTCAAACCTTTCATCTCCAATGCGTCCAGGAACAGGGCGCAGTGCAGAAACATGTTCATTAAAAACCTTCCTGACCCGGAGCCTCGGCTTCAGGAAAAGCCGAGCAATATCCCACTGGACCAGAACAATGAGCAAAAACGTTCTGCTCCTCCAGGAAGAGATGCCTGGCAGGGAAAGAGGTCGCAGTTCATGCTTAGGACCTTCAGACGTTTGAAAAACTGACAAAAAGCCGTTTTTGAATAATGTAAATGGATGGAAATGATAGGAACCGGGAGGAAACCGGGGGAACGTTGTTTCAGGCTGATGTTGCTTTTCTCTCCATGTTGCATAATCAGCATTCTTGGTCTCATTGAACAAACAGACTGGGTTTGTTGCAACATGAAGTTTAAAATGTGACACATTCCTCTCTCACCCACCACGTCAAACAACAGGCTTGGTTTTTACCCACAGGCAGATCCACAAGAGGGACGAGACAAGGAAAGAATCCGTTGAACCTGCTGGTGAATACATTGGCTGGTTGACGCCGTCAGTTCCAATCGGGCCCCAGAAGCAGCTGACGGGAACCGACTGGGTGGTTCCCCCGGTTTCCTCCAGGCAAAAACTTGGGGTGGGAGGAGTTTGAAGATGTCATGGAGAACGACTTCAATATGGTTTCAAGGCGATTCTGTTCCTGCATCTTGAATGGACGGGACAGAACCAACACTGGTTCTAGTGGGCTGCTGCCTCTGAGCCCAGTGGGTCGCAGTTCTGCAGCCAGGGTCTTGTGTTTGGGTGAATCAGTGGGGGGGGCGCTCTGACGGGTCGGTACTGACTGTAGAGCCTTGTCGCCTCTTGTATGTAAATTATGAAAGTTTAATATGTAAATCAGGTTCCTTCGCCTCCATCCAAACCACAAACGCACTAAAACATTTACTTTGATCTGTGATCTTTGCAGTGATTGAGCCCAGAAGCTTCACTTCATGTTCTGTTTCATTACCAAACATCTCGCTGCAGGCGGATCCAACCGAAGAGCCTGAGAACCGTGGAGCTCCGCCAGTTCCAGCTGCTCTAGTCAATAAAGGATGACGAGTCGTTGTTCAGTCGCTGACTGACACTGACAGTTTAATTGCCTGGAAGACTCCCTCATATTCCATCAGCCAATCAGAGCAGCTCACCTCATCAGACAGGAATGGTGGCAAAGTCTTGTTAGCTGCACCCCTTCAACACGCCGCTCTAAATGATCAGCTTCAGAGAAACCTGAGCTCACCTGTTAACACCAGACCAATAAAGAAAAGTCAAAAGGAAAGTTTGCTGAAGCTGCCACACCTCGGCAACTTAAACCCGCCGTGACGGCGTTGCACAGACGGAGGAAACATGAACATCAGACAAACTTCACCTGAAACAAACTCGGTTGTTTCTGAAGCTGCAGACGTCCAGTGATGTTTCTGGATCTCAGCAGGTGTTTGAAACGTTTAGATGAAGATCATGTTTTGATGATCTTCATCTAAACTCTAATCTGTAATCACGGCGAGGTGTTTTCCAACACGTTTTTCTCACTGATGCATTTTTCTGCACATCTGCCCCAGTTCCTCAGAAATGCCACACCTTGTTTTCTCATGGCGATGAGTTTCTGACTCTGGTATCGGATGAACAGATAAAAACAGGTTCACTAATCGCTGCGATTGCCTAAAGGTTGCCTGTTCAAATGCCTCTGTTTGTCTGTGTCAGGAAATCATCAGCCCCGAGTGTTGGAAATGATTTTATTGGCGGTTCTGGATTCCCAGTGAAAGTCGTGCCTCAGGTTGACCTCAGAGTTCAAGTCATTAGTTTGAACCTGAGAACAAAAGTCGCAACCTGGAAGCTGCTGAGCAGAAAAAACCATCCCATATTCTCAGAGCACCACTGCAGGAAGAGCAGGACAAACAGCAGACATTTACACAACATATTAGCTAAAGATGGACGTTAGAAAGTCATCTGGAAGGAAAAACGTCCAACAAGATCAGATTATGTATTTATGAAAAGTAAAAGTCAAACAGACCAACAAAGTATCAGAACAAGAAAAAGGATGAACAAACTCAGTTATCTCTGCATTTTTAAAGATGAATCAGAAATCAACAAAGTTTGATCAGTTTCCTGATGTTTCTGCTGCAACATGGAGGAAGGAGCATGAAGATGTCTGGACTCCTGGTAGGGCTGCCACCGTTCTGTGCGTAGAGCATCTCACTGTGTCGCAGCACTAGGATGCAGCATTAGCATGTTGCACTAGCATGCAGTGTTAGCATGCAGCGTTAGCATGCAAACACTAGCATGCAGTGTTAGCATGCAGCGTTAGCATGCAAACACTAGCATGCAGTGTTAGCATGCAGCGTTAGCATGCAAACACTAGCATGCAGTGTTAGCATGCAGCGTTAGCATGCAGCGTTAGCATGCAAACACTAGCATGCAGTGTTAGCATGCAGCGTTAGCATGCAAACACTAGCATGCAGTGTTAGCATGCAGCGTTAGCATGCAGCGTTAGCATGCAAACACTAGCATGCAGTGTTAGCATGAGGTGCATGCATCCTCCAGACGTCCTTTCAGCTCCTGTCTAAACATTCAGCTTGTTTGATTTGGCATCGATGTTTAAAGGAAGAAGAAGAAGAAGAATGCAGGAAGAGTTTCGCCTTCCACCACGTTTTCGCTCTGTTGGTATTTTAGCCTCTGGACATGTGAACAGATGCATAGTTTGGGTCAGAAAACATCTGGAAACATGAAACAGAAAATAAATTAGCAGAGCAGAAAATCCAGTCTGTATTTATGAATGGAGGCTCAAAGTGCAGCACTGAAAACAAAATGTTTCACCTTCTGTATGATTTATTCATTTCTTTCCTACCAAAAATGGGACTAAAATGTTTCATGTTTAGTTTGTTGAGCTGAAAAAAATCGCAAACGTTTTGTGATTTTAGTTTTTAAAATATGTTTAGAAACTAAAATAAGTTTAGGTTCTAAACTCAAAATGTTTTAATTTGGTTCATTAATGGGATATATTAATGAGGGTAACCATGGCAACGGGTTGTCAGGTGTCCCTTGTTATTAACAGCAACAGAAACAATGAAAAACCCAAACAGGAAACGCTCGGCCTGGTTTCCTGTCAGACAGGAAGCAGCGTGTTTCCATGCAGTGTATGTAAACTTCTGGTCTGCTGAAACTCAGCAGACCAGAGTCTGGATCAGTTTCTGCAAAGATGCCCCCTCTCCTCCTCTTCCTCTGATGCCCCTCCTCCTCCCCCGATGCCCCCCCCCCTCCCCTGATGCCTTAACAACGCCCGAAGCCTGGGAGGAACCATCATGGTGATGAGCAGTGACTCCTTCTGATGCAGGTTTGGCTTCAGGAAGCCCCGCCCCCTGAAGGGGAAGCCCCGCCCCTGAAAGAGGAAGCCCCGCCCCTGAAGGTGAAGCCCCACCCCCTGAAGGAGGAAGCCCCGCCCCTGAAGGGGAAGCCCCACCCCCTGAAGGAGGAAGCCCCGCCCCTGAAGGGGGAAGCCCCGCCCCTGAAGGGGAAGCCCCGCCCCTGAAGGAGGAAGCCCCGCCCCTGAAGGGGAAGCCCCGCCCCTGAAGGGGAAGCCCCGCCCCTGAAGGAGGAAGCCCCGCCCCCTCAGACTGTGTGAGGAGTGGTCAGGAATCCTTCTGGGCGGGTCGGCTCCCGGAGCAGCAGATAAAGGAGCGGCGGCTCGGCGCTGGTTCTGGTTCTGGTTCTGCCTGGCTGGGAGAACGAAGCTCTGCTGACAGAAGACTCACCTGCTCAGGTAAGACGCTCCGCTCTGATCGGCTTCTGTTTCTGTTCCTCCCTGACCTTTGAACTCTGCGTGGAGGGAAGCGCTGCAGTAAAGCCAGGATCAGAGGCGCCTCGACCCAGGATACAAGCATTCCTCCAGAATGACCTTTGACCTCACTGTTGGTTTAAGGAAGGGGTGTCCAAGGTGTGGTCTGGGGCCCGTTTGCGGCCCCCGGACCGATTGTGTGCGGCCCCTGACTTCAGTCCAAGAAAGATCCAGATTTGGCAGACTTTGGTTAGGACAAAACGGATTCCTCTTGAACT